AAATAAAAAATAAAAAATAAAAAATAAAATTATAGATAAAAAATTACAAATTATATTCTTTTAGAATGAAATAAATATTTTTAAGTTAAAATATTTTTTATAATTAATTAGAAATAACTGTTTTTTAATGGATATAGTAAGATACTAATATCTTTTTTATAAATAAACAATTTTCAAACTTAAATCAATTTCAAAAAAAAAATTAATTTAAATGTTTTAACATATTTATTTTAATAAATTTTGATTTCGACTTTTTTAACTGATTGCAACGTTTTTATACTTGTTTTCTATTTTTTAAGCGGTGATAGTCTTTTGATAACTTCAAATGTGACAATTACTTTGATAACTCATTTTTTTATTGTTTGGTTACAACTAATTATGCTTTTAAATGTTACACTTCTATACTTTGACAATAGAATTACATGGATGAAAAAATGTTTACTGTGAAATAATGTACTTTGATGACAAAACAATTACATGAAGAAATAATGACACTTCGTATCCTTTGCTTTGGAAATTATACATTATAAAATAAGTATATAAAAACTATATCATAAAAAAGAGTTTTATCATTAAGTGTTAAACGGTACGAATAAATTTAACGTGAAAAAGTACTTTTTATCATTAAGAGAGTATTATCATAAAAGATTTTCTTGCAGCATGTGAAAAAAAAAAAAAGTACAATTGAACATTTATATTAAAGATGATGGCCTGATTTAAATGATAAATCTAATTAACATATAATTAATAACGTGTAAAAATTAAATATTAAGCGTAAAAGATATAACTCAATATAAGATAAAGTATGAATTGAAACATATAAATTGTCGTTAAAAATAAAACCATTAAAAATTGTCTTTTTTTAAATTTAATAGCTTAAATATTTTTATGTATAAATAATAAACATATACATTAACCGTGTGATTTTAATGAATTTAATATAAAAATAACATTAAATTACAAGATTAGCTTAAAAAATGAAATCTTTTTAAATGATATTTACTTTCATTATCGCACTTTTAAAATTAAATTATTTTTATAGTAAAAAAAAAATATTATATGCAAGCACTACATCTAAAAAATAGAGCCTTCCTCGCATTAAAATAATATATCACACTTTGCTCATATTATTTATTATAATATTTGTACATTAAAATTATTTTTTATTTTTATCCATTTCTTTTTTATATATCAAGTTACTTGTACATTTTTTATTTTTTATAGTGCTTTATCCTTTTACCTCCTGTACAACGAAATATGTCATGCTTATATTTCAATATTTGTACGTATAATTTTACCCATAACATACAACTTTAATTGGCTCCCACAACCTTGGGAGCCTATTAGTAACAAAGACGTTGTTTCTAGTTATCTATAGTTATGTTCCCACTGTTTTTAGATTAACTTGGTGCACGTTTGAATTGATGTTTTTATAAATAGAAATCGAATATTCTTAGTGGCGTTTCACAAAATGCAAGCCTATTACAGACGCTTAGACGTATGGTAAGTCTTGTTAAGCTAAGTAAAGGTTGTAGAAATTTGCGTTGTCCTTTGTGGTCATGGTTCAAGGATCTTAATGCTAGAATTTTCAAAGCATATATATTTGGTTTCAGAATGAACTTTGGCATAATCACGGGACTTTACTGAAAAAAAAAACTGATAATTTACTTTTTTTTTTTAATTGATTTTGCTTTCAAACTTGCATTTGACTTAACGTAATAAACTTTAACTTTTGTATTAATTTAAAATATGTAAACTAAACTTACTATAAATTTACGTTTAAGATAAAAGTTTTCAAACATAAATAACAGTTTTAAACTTAATTTTAAGTAAAATTAATTATACAAAATTAAATTTATTCAAACTCAAGTTTATAAATGTTCATGTTATAAGACTTGTAAATATGAATTCAAAGTAGAAGCTGCAACTAATGGTAACATTGAAATAAATATGGATACACAAATAATTATACGCGAATTCAAACATGTTTTAAGTATTGCTATATGAGAATTTGGTTTGAAGAGAACATAATAATGTGGATCCATTTTGGAGCAACCCTTTCCTATGTTTGAAATTATGATTGCTCACAACTATTGCGTGCATATGATATAACTTAATTAAATTAAAAAAAATTATAGTTAGTATAATGTATGACATGAAAATAAATCAACGTTTCTAACGCAGACAAACCAAGCATAACTACATAGAAAGTGAACAAAACAAAAATTATTAATAGCAAGGAACAAGCAGGAGTCAGTCTCCACTTCAACCTTAGATCTGGAACTCATAAATCAGAGCAGCGTGGTATGATATGCACAGTTGGGGAGTGCAAAGTGAGTTCAGGGCCGATTCTACGATGCACAACTGTACTTATATAGCTTGGTACTGTAGGTAATTTTCTTTAACTGGTTTTCATGTTATTCTTTATTTTGGTTAACTCCTTTAGTCCTGATCAATCTCCCCACACATCACTTTCCACAACCTCACCAAACACACGGAGACACACACATACTAATCCCTTTTCTACGTATAAACTCATTTTTTGTTTCAAATATTATAATATTTTATTTTTATTTTTTCATAAACTTTTGTACCAACTCCTTCAATTTTTAGAAAATATTTTATTTTTAAAAAATATTTTTCTTAAAACATTTTGCGGTCTTATTGCAACCCACCATTACAACTCATATGAAACATTTATAAATATTTTTAATTAAGTTAAAGAATTTTAATTATAATTCTATTATAATTGAGAATTATGTTATCTTTAAATATTTTCTTCATTTAAGGTTCATGTTATACTTATAATTAATCATCTTCTATTATTTTTCAGAATTAATATTAATTTTACATAATATCATTAGCATTTTATTAATTTTTCAAATAAATGCATAATGCAAAATCATATTCAAGTTTTCTAAAGTGCGTAACAAGTTTGAGTATGAGTATATAAGTACTTTGTAGGTAAAGGCTGATGTATTAAAAATGTTACCAATTCAAATATAATTTTATATGCGAGTATATATTTTTTTAAATGTGGCATAAAATAGATAGTACAGTCACTTATTTAAACTCTACTTGTTATTGTCTTCAACTCACTTCCACTCTATCTTAAGGCCTTATCCTTTTTCAATTTGATTTGAAGTGGTGTTTGTCAAAATAAAATTCAAACTTATGTTTTTAAAGTTCAATTTGAACCTCAAATATTAACATATAACCACAAAAGTTCTCTAATTTATTTTAATTATTTAAAGATTAAATTGTCATCATCTTATTTTTTTAAGAATTATTTTCACCGAGTAGACCTTTTAAATTATAAATGGAGAGCCAAAATAGTGAATTATTTTCACAGTTTTGACTTTTGAGTTGGGTTTGATTCTTACTTGTTTGCGCAGAACTTCATTCTCCAGCACAGCCTTTTGCTCCTGCAGATATATTTGGAAAACTTATTAAGTTATCAATTAGAAAAGAAAGGTCCATTTGAAATTCTCTTACATTAAGACCTGTTAGTTTCTACAATCATGAAGAAAGAATGACCTGAAGAAGAATGTAAATTAACCTCTTAAAATTATTCGTATAACTTTACGCTAAGGTGTGTATAAAATTACCAAAAACATTGCCTCTTTACTAGTCAGTATTTTGCTAGTTGGGACCATGCACATATCTAAAGTATTTCAAGTCAATGGGGATAGTGTTTTGCATCCATTATTTTTCACATCTATTTTCTTCTAGAATGAAAATGAGATGAAAAATGCAAGTGGAACCATGTACCTGTAACCTGGACCTCCTAAGATGTTCTGCAAGTACTTGTTCCTGCAACGTTATAGTTAGAGTGAATAGGTTAATGACGGCAAATCCATATATTATTAGTAAGCTTTGAACTGAAGAAATGATTGAATTTGGCAATTGAAATAGATGTCAGAAATAAAAAAGAAAGGACCAATTTACAATCTGATTTTCAACTGAATGCAAGGTTGACCACCTTTGCAATATACATTATAAGGAAAAAACATCAATATGGTCAATATCACTTAAAAGGATCGAAATCTGGCATGTAGTTTTTCAAATTAGTAAGAGCTTCATGTCAAAGTTTTTTTTTTATTCCAGGAATACAAAGGTTCCTTATAACAGAAAAGGAACATAGAAAATCCTGGAAGGAAATATGTCATATCAAAATAATACAATCAATTACATCACTATTGATCATTGTTCTTTGTACCTTGTCTTTGACTGATAGTATCCCTTCACTCAGTTGATTTTCTAGGTGCTGCAGTTCTTTAAGGCTCAATCCATCGAGCTCCTTACCCATCCTCCTCCTATACACAACATGAAAATATTATCAGAACAAAATCTGGTCTAAGATTTTGATGAGAAATAAGCACAAAAGGTAATTAGAAAATATGTAAAATTCATCGGGTAGATATTTTCTTGGCCCATTCATTAAGGTAACTAATGCAGTCAACTATTTCTGTTATGTATGATAGCATTACTGATTGCTGATATGAAGAGTCGGTATCACTTACACATATGCTGAACGAAGCTTTGTTATTTCATCCTTCAGAAGCTTAGTATCAGACTCCATAACTTATTCAAGAGTAGGTAATAATAACACTTCAAACTATATACATACAAAGAGAAACTCAAAAGGGATGAGGTTTGATTAAAGAAAATATGATGTTTTAAGATATTAGAGGGACTGTTTCAAATATATCTGCTGGGGGCTCATCAATAGGTTCCTCTGCACAATCTGATTGCATGCCTTTGCTGTACCTTGAAAGGGTATGCTCCATGCTTTATGAATGAAATAAACTTCAAAGTAAAACTCATCCACTCTTTGTAGGCAACATGTCATTGCTAGATCCTCTCCAACAAACTCAAAACATGCTCCAAGGAAAACAAAATCTTAGTTTATGCAGATCCCAGACTCCATTGGCATAAATGGTCACATAATTTTCTAAAAATACACCATTAATTAGATGCACAATCCCAATTCCAATAAAAAAAATCAACATCTATTCAACAATTTTTAACTGTCACTTTTATTGATATAAGATTTCTCAAATTAAAACTTCAGTTAGCAAAATAACAAGACTTATGTGCAAGCAAGCTATTCTCTTCCGCTAAACTTGTATTCAACATAGGCTTGAAAAAACCTCGATAATAATAACACAAAAGAGAAACTCTAATTCCAATAACACAACAAAAAAAAATCATACAAAGACGCTTTTTGATTTTTGAAATTCAATCGAGGTCCTTGACGATCTTAATCCCCATGCTATTGGCGGTTCCGATGATGGACTTGGAAATGGACTCGAGAGGCATGCTCTGGAGAAAAGGATCAGATTGTTTCACCTTCGCGATCTCGTACACGTGCCGAACCGACAGCGAGGACGCAGTCACGTGACCGGGGCGGCTGCTACCGGTGTCCACGCCCGCGGCTTTCTTGAGGTACCACGACACTGACGGCGACTTAACGGTGAACTCGAAGGTGTTGTCCTTGAACGCCGTTATCGTAACTGCCATGGGCGTGTCAGGCTTGTACTTCTGGGTCCGCGCGTTGAAGTCCTTGCAAAACGCCATCAGGTTCAGCCGGTACTGACCCAACGCCGGTCCGACTGGTGGAGCCGGTCGAGCCCCTCCGGCGGGTACCGTGAGCCGGATCGTCGCTGCCACTGCCTTTGGTACGCTCATTTTGGTAATGGCTGGGATTTGAGAAGAAACGTATCAGCAGAATAAGGGTTTAAGGTTCATTGCATGGGCCTGGCCCAACTGTTTCATGGGCTGAGTCAAGAGGTTACCATACTAACCTCAAGGTAAAAAAACAAAAAGATTTTTGATTTGAGACCCAGGTATACCTAATCTTTTAAAGATATTAAATTATATTATTTTAACATGATTTTAAGCTCTCAACAAGTAGATAAAACATACCAAATTTTATAAAGAATTTAATTTTTATGTATTATTAATATAATTTTTATTAAAATATATCGTGGGTATAATTTGTATATTAATTATTATAATAATAATTTTTTAATATGACAATATATGATAAATGTCAATATAAATAAAATATAAAATTATTTGATATTTTATCAAACAGTTTTATTTTAATATATATTATATTTTTTAAATTATAAATAAATATTATTTATAAATTTACGTATAAATAATATTACATCATTTAATAGTTGAATTAATAAAATTTAATAACTATAAATTTTTTTGGAGAAAGTATATTAATCCAATAACTAAAGTCATCGAAGGAAGTTAAGTATACTTGCTTCCAAAATAAGTAAGTAACTTCCCATGTTTGAATCAATATTTACATTAAATTTTATAAAAAAATTGTTTATACATATTTTGTAAAATTATTGATTAAAATATATTTAAATATGTATTTAAATAAATATTATTATAATTATATTTAACATTTTGATCATATTTTTCAAATTTATTTGTTGTTAACGCACAAGATGGATGACTAGGGTTTAAAGCCTTTTAAGTTAAACAATTATTGGATAGAGTATGTTAATATTCGTGAGGTGATTAATAAGGCATGAAATGATAATGTTAGTGAGTCATAAGCAGCAAAATGCATTAAGAGAAAGATGACTAATGTAACAATTACTCTTAAAGGATGGAATTGAGAAGTATTTAGAGATGTGGATAAGAAAATTTATGACATGACATTAGAGCTTGCAAAGTTGTATAAATGAAATTTAAGACTTGGTAGGTCATGAAACAATTCGACAAAAAGATTAGGTTAAAGGTATTGGACGGGTAAGGAGATATAGGGATGTTTAGGCCTATCCAAAAATGTCAAACCCGTCCAAAACTGGGCTAGCCAAAGGCCCAAAATGCGGATGGGGTTAGGTTGGTTTGTTTAGGGGAACTGAAGGTCGTTAAAAATGGGGTTCTAAGGGTAGAAGCGGTTGGGCTCGAGTGAGGGGATTGACACCTGAATCAACCTGACTACTTATTAAGTTAATGTTAAAAAAAATGGAACCCTAGGGACCCATAGTTAGTCGTTGCTTAACCTAAAATGTTGTAAGTCTCCCTCTATTTTTCAGCGCTGCATGCCATTTTTTTGGTCTTTCCTCTCTTCTTCTCCCCTCTTTGATTTCGTTCCCAAACCAAGTGCTTTGTAACCTCTGCTAGGATTTTCATATCTTAGACTATTAGTCATGGAACTCTAAGGCCAAGGTGCATACTTTTAACTATATCATACTTTCGATCTTTCCTCTCTTATCTCCTCTTCGATTTCATTCATAAATTAAGTGCTCTGCTAGGGTTTTTCATCTTTCAAACTTTTAGTCATGGAACCCTAACTCTTTCAGTCTTTCGATCTTTTCTCTTTTCTTCCCTCTTCAATTTTGTTCCTAAACCAAGTGCTTTGCTAGGGTTTTTCATCTCCCAAACTCTTAGTCATGGAACCCTAAGGCTAACTGGCTAAGGCAAACACTCTTAGTTCTTTTAGTCTTTCGGTCTTTCCTCTCTACTCCCTCTTTGATTTTATTCCTAAACTAAGTGTTGGGCTAGGGTTTTTCATGTCTTAAACTCTTAGTCATGGAACCATAAGGCTAAGGTGCACAATCTTGCACTCTTAAGTGGTGTGCCCTAGTAGGATTTTTCACTCTTAGTCATGGTGCTTTGATAGGGTTTTCACTTTTAGTCATGGAATCCTAACTACTCATCTCCTGTTATATATTTTGGTTACTAGGATTTTGAGGGCCACAATTTCATCATCGGTGATTAAAGGTGGTCGATCTCCTATTGAGTGAGGTAATAGACTCATACTCTGTATTTTCTTAAGTTGTGTTAAAATATTTTATTACTTTGTAATATTGGTCCGATAGCTCTCTTTTTTTATATCTGTCTTTCTCAAATTGGTTGTCCAATCGTTTATATCTCAAGATAATAATATTTACTTTATTTGAAACAAAGTTTGAGTTGTTTAGTTTCTAAATTTCTATTTTTTTTTCAATTTGTTATGTTGAATTGATGCAAGGTGATGGTGGCTGAAGGTGGTTTCAGAATGTTCGTTGTTTACCTTAAGCTCTTATTGTTGGAAGGTGAACTATAGCATTTTATAGTTCAGGTTGTACATTATCATACTTTATAGTTTGGTTATTTGTGGACTATTTAATTTGTCTACTATTGTTAGTTGGTTGTATGACAATGGCTAAGCTGAGATACATGTATATTGTTGTGTTACATATTTGTGATGTATTCTATGAGAATATTGCATGTTGTTGTCTCTCTGATGTATAATAATTGTTACCTTGATTCTATGTATGTATGTTAAATGTCTTTGTTCTCAGTCTAATCAATGATGTTTTCTGATATTGTCATTCACCTGCCTATTCTGTCCCATTTTCCTCTATTGTTTGTTCAGTGATGGCTTTTAGGAACTTAATCTTTTTCTAATTGATGATATTTTCTGAGATCTTGTCATGTCTTAATACCTGCTCTTCTCTCTCTTATCATTGATGGCTATAGTCTGAGATTTTTATGTGTTGTTATGTATACTATAAGTTCTTGATCTGTTTGTAATCAATGATGTTTTCTAAGATTTCTACCTACCTATTCTGCCTTCTCTTTCCCCATTCCTCTCGTTGTTAGTTAAGCGATGGTCTCTAAGATGGTTATTGTGAGCTGATAACATGTTTAAGATCAGTGATGAGATATCAATATATAAATTTTTTTAATAATTGATAAAACTTTAAGTAATGTTAGTCAATGGCTAAATATAACTAGTAGTTGTTAACTTAGGCTTCTTCCATTGAAATAGAATGAAGGAGTCTGGTCAGTACATACCTCTTGAAATCTAACAGTAAATCAATTGGTTGTTCCCACTAGTTCTGCATCAACTTGTATAGATCATGGTGGAAATCTATCAGATGCAAGTGCTTATACAAACAAGAGGAGAGCAAATGCAAGTATTACCCTTCCAAATGCTCCAGCTAAGAAGAGGAGAGCAAACGCAAGTGCTCCCAACTTGACTTCAGATGTTTGGGATCATTTCACCAAACTACCTTTAGCAAATGATGATGACATTCCCCAGGCTGCATGCAACTATTGCAAAAATAAGCCTTATATTGTCACTCTAAAATTTATGGAACATCTAGTTTGGGAAGTTACCTTCATAGTTATCGTAAATACACACATATTCTTACTAGTGATTCAAACTAAACCGTTTTGACTTTTGGGTTTGATAGTAATATGTTGGGTGCGACCAACCTAAGATTCAATTTAGAAGCTTGTAAAAAAATTGTTGCAAAGTTTGTGATTTTAGATAAACAACCTTTTAGAATAGTCGAGGGTGAAGGATTTAGGTTACTTATCAATCAACTTCGACCTTAATTCACCCTTCCATCTTGCCAAACACTCACTAGGGATAGTTATTAGCTGTTTTTGGATTGAAAAAAATTAGACTTAAGGCTTTTTTTATGTCTGATTGCAGTTGAGTCACACTCACTACTAATTGCTGGATTTCAATTCAAAATTTAAATTACTTAACATTGACGGCTCATTTTATTGATATGGAGTGGAACTACCATGAACAAAATCATTAGTTTTTCAGTTGTTCCCAGTCATAGAGGTGAGACTATAGAAATGCATATTGAAGAAATTTTGAGAGAGTAGGGACTTAGAAATATCTTCATTATTACTGTTGACAATGCGTCTTCTAATGATGTGACTATCAACTATTTGAAGAATAGGTTGAAGCTCTTCAATAGGCTAGTCTTAGGTGGAAAATCTTTTCACATGAGGTGTTGTGTACACATTTTAAATTTAGTGGTGAATGATGGTTTAAAGGATATGCATGCCTTTATATCTACCATCAAAATCACTATTAGATATGTGTGGTTTAAAGGATATGCAAGGGTTTTTGTTAAGTTTCTAAAAATCTTTCATGATGCAACAAAGATCATTTCTACTTCCACCCGTCACTATTTATATTGTCTTCTACCAACTTTTTGAAATTCTTATTGAGCTGAATCATTTTACAATGAATTTGAACACAATTCTTGTCAACATGGGGTTGGAGCTGAAAAAGAAGTATGAAAAGTGTTGGGGTCAAGTGGAACAAATAAGCCAACTTCTTAATTTTGGAATGATTCTTGATCCTAGATACAAGTTGTTCCTGTTTGGGAAACACTAGTCTTCAAGTCTCTGCTCTGAAGTGGTGACGTCCCTCTGACTGTCATTGACGTGAGGAGGGTACCTGCAAAAGGCACTTCGATGCTGAAATCAGGATTCAGTTCTGAGTAATAAATGTTATTTAATAATGAAAAGTCAACATTTTACATGTACTTCATACCTTCCTTTTATAGGCTTTATTATGGGCTAATGGGCCTGATGAGTCAGCCTTGATTTTGACCCTTTACTTAAAGTAGATAATGCTCTGATTATTACCCTTAATTGAGTTAATTACCTTTTAATCCTAATAACAAGGTATTCGGCCAAACTGGGCTGAATAGGTACTCGGTTTCCTTTTTCTATATGTAGGACCGAGCAATTCCCCATCCAGTATACAAGTTGACGTATGTTGAGTGCTCTTTTAAAGACATATACCCAAAAGACACATATTTAGTAAGAAAACTTTCTGTTGATGTCAAATATAAGCTTTTTCAATTGTATGCTTGGTGTGCTATCCTCCATGAGCAATAGGATAGGGCTACATAATCTTCTCAAGTTTCTTCACAAGACAATTTAGCTCAAACCTCTACTCCTCAAGTTGCAGCCCATTTTGCAAGGGCTGATGCTTACTAACGATATTTAAGAGAAAAAAGTTCAATTGATGAAAAAACTTGAGAGGTATCTTGTTGAATTATGGTTGAGTTTTAATGATAAATTTGATCTTCTATTATGGTGGGAACAAACAATTCATGTTTTCCAATATTGTACACTTTGGCAAGAGATGTACTTGTTCCAGTTTCAACTGTTGCATCCAAAAAGTGTGTTTAGCACTGGGGTAAGGTGCTGGATAGCTTCAAAAGTTCCTTATCTCCACAAATGACTAAAGCACTCATTTGTACCCAAAATTGGTTAAAACCCTCTCTTTTTCAATTTAAAGATAAGGACATCAATGAAGACTTTGAAATTTTAGAGACTATTATAGCAGGTAGTTTATTGTTGTTGTTTTTGGTAATTTAATAAATAAAAATGTTAGTTGCTAATTTTAGTAATTTAATATTTTTTTGGTTGATCTCATGCATTTAAGACTTGTCAATTGTTGGAGGAGCTACACTTGTGGCCGGAGGAATTGGACCTGAAAGTTCTACTAGCCTATCTTAACCAATTAATATTAGCTAAGGTTGCCTATAAGGTAAGTTGTTTTATTTTTTTAACATACTGCCTTTGTTTATTTTTTTCACTTTTTTTATTTAACTTTGTTTTTGTAACTTTCTACCTTGGTATTTTTTTTTTAGCAATAACTTTTTGGAGCCTAAGATATGAAAATGTTATTTTGAATAGATCTATTTTTGGGATGAAATATCAATTAGGTTTATTTTGGATCAAGGGACTATGTGGAATCCTTGAGGACAAAGTGCTGGTTCTTATTTTTTAAATTGTAACATTATCAAATGTTTAAGTAAAGTAAGTTTCTGAATTAATTCTAAATTGATCTTTAATTTATTTTTTTGCAGATATTTTTTGCTTTTGTTGAATTATTTTGGACAATAATCATTCAAGCTCCTTTATTTTATGTTGTTGATAGTAAGATGTTACTCCCTCTCCACTAAATACATTCACGTATTAATATGCAATATGCATGTCACTATTTTTGTTTCAAGTTATCTTATAAATTTTACTTTTATGCTCTTAACCTAATGGTCATTTTGATACCCAAGCCAAGATTTATTTCATCATATCAAATCATCATTCTAAGCATTTGCAACCATCATAGAATGGTAAATGACATTCCCTTCCAATATTCATTCTCTTCATGTGCTCAACTTTATTGCAAGTTAAATTCATTAACCGACTAAGGATTTTTTTCACTATTTTGTAATATTTCTCTATAGATTTACGAACAGGAAGGAGATGAGAGGTAATTAACGAGTTGGAGAAAATTTTGTCTGTTGCTAATCAATGTTATTGCCAATCGATACTTTTTCATTTATTTATGTTGATTTGGTATTTTGGTTGATTTATTTTCTTGCACAATTTAAAAAGAAGTGTCATGTGGACTTGTTATTTTAGTTTGTACATTTGAGAATTAAATTTAGAATCCAATTAATTACAAATTGTTTAATCTTAGTATAATTTATGTATAAATTATAAATAATTCCACTCTAATATAATTTATGTATTAAGTATAATTTGGATATATTTCAAAATAATAAAAACATTTAAAGATATTTTTTATTTTAAATAAAAAACATTATCTATCTATTATTTGACATTTATTTTTCATTAGTTATAATTAAAAGAAAAACTACTAATATTTTATTATTTAATATTATAAACATTTTAATAAAAAAATTAAAAATTTGTTTTAAAATTGGATCTAGATTCCACGGAGCCTAACGGTGGATGGTCTTGCCTAACGCTTTGGAGTTGAATGGAAAAGTGTAACAAAAATAGGCCGTACGGTTTTGGCCTGAAATGATAAAAGGCATGTAAAGCACGTGGAAAGGAAGAGGTTGTTTATCGCTAATCTAAACCCAACTCAACTCAACTCCAATCAATGAGGAGAAGCAAGAAAATTCCATCACCCAATTCCCAAACGCTTCAATTCGTCCAACTCACCCCATGAAAACAACATGACTTTCCTAACGAGTCAAATGCAAAACCCAATCCATTCCTCCTAACCATCTTTCCTTCCCCCTATTGTTATTAAACAAATATTAACCACAATTATTCATAATAATGTTTTATTAATAATATCATTAGCTTATGCCATACAATCAAAACACAAGAATAACATTTTTATTAAAAATATTTATTAAATAATATTATTTAAAACTTTAAAATGTTTAATATTTTCATACCATGAATTCATGAAAAAACATTTTTATTACACACTTAGTAACAAGTGTTTTTGAGATATTTATCAGTCACCAATTATTTTTCTTTTATATTTTCGATGTGTAATTTATTTTAAAAGAATTCTTTAGTTTTTTTAATAAAATTTAATAGTATATATTTAATATTTTTACTCCATATAAGTTCATGAAAACTTAATAAATACTATTTTTCATTTAATAAGATATGCATTAATTATCAATTTTTTTTTTATATTTAGAACTTAATAATTTGTCACTAAAAATAGTTCTTAAAGTTTTCTTTTAATTTTAAATATTTTTATACAATATATCTAAGAATTTAATTTTAATTTATCAACAGTGTAAAGATGTTTTTACACTTTTATTTAATTATGAATTGTCATATTAATATGAATTATTTATTTTTATAATATTAATATAAAATTATAATTACAATATATTTTAATTAATTGATTGTATAAAAATTTTATACTAAATATACATTAAAATTAAATTTTATAGTTAATATTTCTAGCTTATATTTACGACCATACTGTAAAACACATTACTTAATATATATTTTTAAATATTAATTAAAATACATATAATGCATCTCATTAATGTAATTTTAATTATATATATATATATATATACATATATATATATATATTCTTTTATATATTTTTGACATAATAAGTTTTTTAAGAATTATTTATTTTAAAGTCAAATAATCAATTTTCATACTTTTTTTTTTATATAAAACACCTAATAATAATATATAATTTACATTAAATTACATAAATTTAAGAAATATTCAATCCTCAATTTAATTTTATTCAACTTTAAATTAAATATTTAGGTAATATATTTCAATATATCCACAATTAGTTTTGAATTGGTATTATTTTTACAATTTTATTCTTTAAAATTGAGTTTAATTACTTATAAATAGTATTTTTATTAAAAAATTATAATATTTATTACACTTTTATATTCTTTTAATTTTTAATAAGATATTAATTTTAATTATTTATCTTCAACCCTTAATTATAAGTATAGAAATTAACCTTTTTATTTTTGTTATTTTATTGTGTTTTTAACGTACGTAATAAAAACTTAAGTGTAACCATTTTTTTATTAAAATTTATAAAAATATATTAATACTATTAAATATCATTATTTTCTATAATTTTTTACTTATTCATTTTTTATTATATTACTTCAAACAAGCATTAATGTTTTTAAAATTTATGTTGAAAGATGCATATTAAAAAATTTAAAATAAATATTATTAAAATAAAAAGAGGAAATAATTTAAAATTATAAGAAACATTTAATACATATATATATATATATATTATAATTTATAATATTAAATAAGATACATTTAATTGTTGGGACACATAAAATAATCGATAAAAATACCTATTATTATTGTCGATATTATTATTTGGTTGAACATGATTCCGATTTCTGAATCACCAATCACCAAATCTGCCTATAAATACCGAAAACGCTGGGGAATTTCCTCTGCTGTGTTCGTTGGCTCTCACACTCCGCGTCGTATAATAACAAACAAGCGAGGGAGAGAGAGAATAAAGGAAGAACGAAAGAACGACGAAAATGTCAGATGCGTTTTGCAGCGACTGTAAGAGGCAAACGGAGGTCGTTTTCGACCACTCAGCGGGTGACACCGTCTGTTCCGAGTGCGGACTCGTCCTCGAGTCTCACTCCATCGACGAAACCTCCGAGTGGCGCACCTTCGCCAACGAGTCTGGCGACAACGACCCCGTCCGTGTCGGTGGCCCCACCAACCCTCTCCTCACCGACGGTGGTCTCTCCACCGTCATCGCGAAACCCAACGGCGCCTCCGGCGAGTTCCTCTCTTCCTCCCTCGGCCGCTGGCAGAACCGTGGCTCCAACCCCGATCGCGCCCTCATCCTCGCCTTCAAGACCATCGCCACCATGTCCGATAGGTCTGTCCGCTAGGGTTTCAATCCAGATCGGAATGTTACCAATACGATGACACCGTTACAGAAAGATTTTTAATCACTACGTTACTCTTTAAAATTCTTATTTTTAAAAGAATAATTAAGTAATTACATTGATCGATTTTATTTTTCACGGTAAAAACAATAATTTTAATTCTAATGAGGAAAAAAAAATGTTTCGTGCGTGAGGACTAATGTGACTAATGTTTGTTATTTTAGTGGTTAAGGTGAGCTTTGTCTATTGTGAGGACTAATGTTGTCTTAATGATTAATTGATCTTTTGCAGTTTCCCGAGTGTATACCGTATTGCTGTTAAAAAAATATATATATATATTTTTATGTTTTGATTTTGTTTAAGTATTTCTTCTAAATTGTGATTATTTGTGATGTTTTTTTGGAGTGAATGAGACGATTGGGAATTGTCTGATGCGGTTGATGGATTTTCAGGTTGGGACTCGTTGCGACTATCAAGGTATGTCGTTTTCTTGTTTAGGACAGCTTCTATCTGGTTCACTCTTGTTTTTGGGGTTATTATTATGAAACGGTTTATATATTTGTGTATCTGGTGTAAATGGTTGTTGACATTAAGTTTGGGATCTGAATGCAAAGCTTTTTAGAATTGTGGTGTATTCAAATGAGTGACTTGACCAAATTTGTTTAGAGGGTTGGAGAAGTCGTTGCACTATGAAGATACTGTGTGACTAAGTTTTGAAGGCTAATCTGGTAAAATTATATGCGACTGTCAGGATAGGACATTAGATGGCATTCCTCATTATGTAGGATGGTTTGATCGCAGAACAAGTTTCATAACCTGCATATGCCTGTGCCCGCTGTATATGGTCATTGCTATCTACTTTGGGTTGGAAGCTCAAAGCAGATGCAATGTTTGTTGAAAAACTATGAAATTCTACCTGGGTATCGGGTTACATTGTTGCTTGATAAGACACTGTATTGCTACTCTTATTCTTGCTTTTATCATTTGGCCTTTAGATTCCCTAGAGAAATTGATGATCAGTGTAGTCAAATATATTTAGTGTAGGTATCAAAAATGGTCAGCACCTCTTGCTAGTTAAGGTGCTGCCCCTTTATTTAGGCCCATGCCTCTGGTGCTTTGAACATACCTTTCCTTGGTTAATTTTGGAAAAATATGAGTGGGTTAAAAATTTGTCCCTGAATATTATTGTGAGTTGTTTGGGCAAGGATATTTACATGCAAAGCAATTAATAATGGCTATTTGCAACTTGATGTGAATAAAGGAGTAGATATGGTTTTGGCAGCCCTGTTGTATGTCAAACTTCTCAGAACAATGTTTATAATCCTTCCATTTTGTCAATTTTACCTTAAGACCTTTTATTTTAATTTCCTTTCCTTTCTTCAACTAAAGATGTTATGTAAATTGTCTATTTTTACTCATATTCTTTTGCATTTGATTTGAAGGATCGAGCAAATGAGATATACAAGAGGGTTGAAGATCAAAAGTCTAGTAGAGGAAGAAATCAAGATGCTTTATTAGCTGCTTGTCTCTACATTGCTTGCCGACAAGAAGACAAACCGCGTACTGTTAAGGGTACAGCCTATGATTCTTTTAACATCTGGATGCTTCCCAATTTATCTTTCCCTATGTAAATGAGCTTCCCTGAACATATGGATTTCAACTAGAAATTTGCTCTGTTGCCAATGGGGCCACAAAGAAGGAAATTGGCCGAGCAAAAGAATACATAGTGAAACAACTGGGTTTGGAGAATGGTCAGTCTGTGGAGATGGGTACAATACATGCCGGGGACTTTATGGTGAGCTTTCTTTATTTACTTCAGGCATTCCTTCTATTTGGATTAGTGTATTGGTGAAGCTAACTTTTTGAAAATTTGACTAGATTTCATTACTGTTGCTAACAATATTTTCATCTCAAACTTCAGAGGCGATTCTGTTCCAATCTTGGTATGAATAATCAAGCTGTTAAAGCTGCTCAGGAAGCTGTGCAGAAATCTGAAGAATTTGACATAAGGTATATTTTTGTTTACCTTATATTTCTGAAGAGACTGAAAGTGATGTTCACTGCTGACGGCTGGTTTGTCATAGTTACTGCTTGGGCTTCAGAAGATTAAGTTTTGCTCTAAGAAAACTTGGTGGCAAAAGTTGATACACTGGAGTGTGCTATGATAAAATAAAACTAGGATATTAGCTTAAAATTAGGGCTTATAAACCATCTAGACTTTGCTGATTAGCTATTGTATTAAATTTCCCTGTTTTTCTGAGACCAAGGTGAAGATTTATATTATAGATTAGAAATGTTCAGGTTTTACACGGTGTATAATGCATCCAGGTGAGGAGGAAACTGAGGATAGGTAGCATGTGTTATTGATTTTTCATTGTGTTAGAAGTCAGAACTGAGGGTTATATATATCATGAGAAATGCTAATAACACACTCTTTAACATACTCCTGACTATTGGTTAAAATTTATTGAAAACTATAAAAATTATGTGGGTATCATTACTCTTTCTCAGTCCTAACATAATGTTTTTCTCTTATACTTTTGTAATTTTTAATAAAATTTAGCCAGTAGTTAGGAGTGTATTAAAAAAAAGTGTGTTGCTAACGTTCTTTTGTGTCATATATCATGCATGTCAACTTGATTTAAATTTGACTGACAAATTAAATGCTTTGTCCTCTGCACTTGTAATCCATCCTACTTGTTTTTGGTTTGGTCATATTCAGACATATATGATTATATTCTGGGGATTGATACTAACATTTTTCTGATTTGTCAGGAGGAGTCCCATATCAATAGCTGCAGCAGTTATATACATCATAACTCAACTTTCTGATGATAAAAAACCTCTGAAAGGTTTGTGATACACTCACAGGATAACTCGATTTGAAGGGATGGGAGGACAAACATTTCTTTATTGATTTCTATTTGTAAAAATTGTTTTTTCAATTTCATAGGTTTTATTGGAAAAATTTAAATTTCAAATGAAATTTGATTTTTTTTTTGTGGAAGAATTAAATTTGACTTAGAATGTATCTAAATTCTAAACCCACTGATTGTCGCAATGCAGATATATCACTTGCCACAGGAGTTGCAGAAGGAACAATTAGGAACTCCTACAAGGATCTTTATATCCATATTTCAAAAATAATACCAAATTGGTATGCTAAGGAGGAGGATTTGAAGAACCTTTGCAGCCCTTGAATTGTTGAGCAAAATATTACGACCCTTATTTAACAGGTTATATGTCATTAGATCATTCTGTTTTGGATGTACTGAACAATTATTAAAAATGAAAGCGCCTTTTTTACTTTGTCGTCATTTTGCTTGGCGTCCATCGCACCATTTGTTTAACCCTCCCAATAAGTACTCTTGGGAGCGAGGCACCATATGAATTTCTCGACACTGGTGCAACATCAAAGAGTTAGTGTTGTACAAACGGTGAACCCACTTGCATCAATTGAGTTCTCTTTTGCTATCATTGCTCCTTGATATGGATTGACGAGTTGTAGTTATGTTCATTGCGTATCACAAAAATACACGTTGTGAAACTGACACTGCATCAATATCAGTTAGACCTGGAACTTTCTGATTGTTAATTTTTGTTCCATGCAAGCAGACAAATTGGAACCTATTATTCCTTCGAAAAAGGAATAACAATTCATTGATACCCATCCATTTTGGCTGGGCTAGGTAAATTACTTCGGAAAAACTAAGTATGGGTGCGGTTTGGCCATTATAATACCTACTCTACATACTAGCCCTTGTGTGTTTTGTAACTAATAGTCTAAGTGTTAGGTATTTTTTGAACTGAATTAGGTATTACACTTTGAATCATAGTTATTAATCTTGAACTGGACTGGTCAATTTAATTAGGAGTCAATGAGGTTTGTAGTTATAATAACTTAAAATTGATGCAAGAATTATTATTTAACTATTTATTGTTTTAATCAACCCATGTATATATATTTGTATTTATTTATTTATGCAAGAATTATTATTTAACTATTTATTGTTTTTTTTAATCTTATGTACATGTAATATGATCTTTTTATATTAGTTTTTTTCATGTAGGTTTATATTAATTTATCACGTGATATATTATATAAAATTAAAATATGTAATCACTGGTTTTCTTGATTCAACTACAGTTAAATCAATGGACTGTAATAATTACTTAATATATTAATGCAATATGTTTATATAAATTTGATTTTAAATATATTGATTTGTTATTGTTAATTTTAATATCGAAATAGCATTAAGCGGTCTTTATCTTAATCGTACGTTACCAGATGTTATTCATTTTCATTCCTACAACTTTGGAAGGTATTATATTAAGCTACTACTATCCTTGTGAGTGTGATGGTGAATTTTGGAGTTTTTCTGTATAAGTTGAATGTCTTTAATGTCTCTAATAAATTTAGAAATATTTTTTAAAAGAATTTTGAAAGGAAAACTCCAAAATATTTACCTTTCAATGCATAATTTAGGTAAAATACAATTTTATCCCCTAAGAAGCATTTAGAGTGTAAAAGAAAGGGCCCTTTTAAAATAACAAATTGAACAATTACTTCATATGGGCATGCGTTGTGATTCTGATCAAGGTCCCTTTTAAAATAACAACATATAGTGTTGAAGAACTATGTCATGGCGTGTCATGTTTCTATATTAGACCCTAGCCATGAGATCGAAGGAATAGCTCAAATTTAAGTAGTCGCTGTCTTGTAATTATCCTTGGAGTAAAATTTTTCTGACTCGTCTTTGTTCATTTCAAAAGATTTCTTAACCTTTGTTTTACACAAGAATGACCCTCTCTTTCACTTGAGAATTTTCTTTTCTTTTTACTTCTCTAGTTGTGCTGCTTTTCTAATACTGAAGGGCATTAAGATTCTTCAACAATAATCGTGGGTGGACCCGAAATTCTAGAGCTACGTGGGTTGATTGGAAAGCCGGTTTTGGAGGGGTAAAGGAGAGTATTATATTTTTTCATGTATTGGGCTCACAATTAACCAATTTAACAATTAATTTAATTATATATGTTCTCACATTTGAGCTTAAATATTTTAGAAGTAATTATATATTTAGTTATGTAAAAGCATTAAATCATTCTTGAATCGCAATTAAACCATATACATTTATTGATAGTACATCTAACATTGTAAGATAATCATTCTAAGAATTGAATTAACCACACATCTAGTCATAATTAAACATCTAATTATTTTATGTGCACTTTATAAAAAATCTCGTAACTTTCCTCTCCTTGATTTAAATTGGGTTGAAAAACAACACTCTCACAACTTGACCCATATGTGTTATTTAGTGGTTAACCATGAGTAAAATTCTGCTTAATTACACCTAAAATTCTGCTTGATCACGTTGTTTTTTCTTAAACTTTTAACTTAGTCTTCAAATTAAGTATTTTAAAATTTTCTTTGACGCAATTTTTAACATAATTATTTTATTATTTTGTACTTATTTTTTATGACATTTAATTCTATAATTCTTTAAATTAATATTTTTTGAGTTTTTTTTATACCTGGATTCAACAGAATTAATTTTTATTGTTTTATTATAAAATTTAACTATTTTTAAAATTGTCTCATTAATTTTTTTTTTATTTAATTCAGTCATCTTTGTAACATTTCTCAATCACCACTCTTTTTTATCTTAAAAAATCATGAATTTTTATGAAAAGTTTGATATGTCATAATTTGTAGCGTAAAGATATTAAGTCAAATAAAAAGGAAAAATATGTATATATTTATTCAATAATTGTTTGTAGCAAAATGGTCAATATTATTAGTGTTAACAGGTCATTACTTTTCTTCGAGGCAAGTGTTAATATTATTATGTCACGAGCTGAAAATTAACTTAATAAAAAAATTAATGTAATTGTTAATCAAGGCAATCTGATCTATCTAATCTAATATGATACCGTGCTATAAAATAAGATTGTTGCTCTTTATTATTTTATACATTAACAATATAAGTACTAGGGTGAACATGGTAATAAGAAAATAATAAATAAATAAAATCAATACAATGAGAATTAAGGTGTTAGGAAATTAAGGCTATTTGAAATCAAGTTAATCATGGTGGATTTTATATTTACATATTATTATGTATATGTTACATACTATGATACAAAATAAGATTTTTACAAATCACATGTTATGTGTTGTCTCTTAATCATTATTGTTTCTTTAAAAGCAAAATTATATTTATATTTTAAATTAGATCAATAAAGCAATTGATACATTATAAAAACTGACATAATGTTTTTATTTATAAACAAGTTATCTAATAATATTATCACGTAAAATGTCTAGAGTTAAGATATTAACATAGTTAAGACAATTAAAAATGAAAAGAATCATGACACTAGGAATAAAATACATATTTATATGTAAACATATGTGAACCTTATCTAACATAAATTTTGTCACCTATCTAATTCTTTTATAAAATAAAATAAAATAATTATTTCATATTTTTAATTTATATGTTTGATATCGCACTTTAAAATGCAAAAATAAATTATTTAAATTATGTTTGTAATGTAAAAAGTATATGAAAGACAGTAACTAAACCTCTTAAAATAATATATCTTATTCAAAATTTGTTATAGAATTATTAATTTTTTAAAAAATTATATTAAAATTAAAAATTTGTTTTTTTAAAAAAAATTTAATTCAATCATTTTAAATAAAATTAGCTTTAAATTTTTTTTTTTGTTTCAAGCTTTAAATATTTCTCAAGATTTTCAATTAATATAATAATAATGTGATTTTAATTATATGTACTGTTTGTGCAGGATGGATGCTGTTGATAAAAGGCTGATGACATTTTGTACCACATTTTTTTTATATTTTATATTTTTATTTTTTAAGCAATTAAAATTGTATATTTAAAAATTTAAAAGGATTAATATGAATAATTAAAATTAAAAAAACTAAAATAGTATGGACATTAATGTATATAAATTAAAGAGTTGTTTGGGAAGAAGAATTTGTAAAGGATAAATTTTTTTTTATTTCAATTAAATTAATATTTTTTAAAAATAAAATATATAAATTAAAATATAACATAACTTTAATATATTAGTAATATATTTATTATCATAAATAATATATTATTTTTAATTAAAAAATATGTTTTTGTTCCTTTCTCCTCCTTTTTCTCAATTCTACCTTAGAAATGTAATTAAAATTTATTATTATTTAACCTTAAATCAATTAGATGCTTAGACACATAATTTGAGTCCAGCATAAGGTTTTTTTATTTAAATATTGTAAATTTAAAAATAATTTCTTAAATTATATATTTTTTAAAACTATTTTCCTATTTAGGATAATTTTTTTGACGTAATAACTGTTTCGCCAAAATGGTTCACCAAAATATTAATTTTTTTAAAAAAATAATAAATTTCGTTACCTTAGTGCGAAATAACCAAGTTATGACACGTGTAAGCATTTGAAAAATTCACAATATTTATGGCAAAATTAATAAGCAGTTTCGCCATGAAAAGTGAGAAACTTGTAGACGGTGACATGTGTCACAATCTTATGAGTTTTGGCAGGAAAAGTGAGAAACACTTAAATGGTGACATGTGTCACGATATTATTAAATTTTGCTGTAAAAATTGCACAACTTACAGAAAGTTGACAAGTATCATGATTTTAACCTATTACACAAATTAAATATAAATTATTTTAATTTATTATAAAATTATAATTATATCATAATTAAATAAAATTCTAACAAAATTAACTAACATTATACCTGAATTTTTTTTATTTACATACTATTTTAAATTACATCTTAATTTAAAAAATTAAAATTATTAACATAATTAACCATAATATTTTTATCAGTAGATATTAATTATAATTATATTAAAATTAATAAAATAAATTCGTAACATAATAATAACAAATATTTTTTATATTTACATACAAATTACTAATGTAATAACAATACATAATTTACTATCATTAATTTTAATAATATAATCAAACAAAATATAATTTGAATTTACATACAAATCATGACCCCATTTAAAATTAAAATAAAATTACTAACATAATACGGGTCATTTTTTCCATTATGATTTTTCTAAAATAAAATTATAAAAATATGACATTTTTTACAAAATTACATAAATATGATGTATATAAAAATGCCAATGGCAATTTTAAGGCAGAAAAAAAAATCTGATAAAGTAAACTCGTCATTGACGATTTTATAGCATAAAAAGACAAAATTTGACAAAGTAAAGTCGTCATTGGCGAGTTTACTTTATCAGAAAAGAAAACATGACTGGTAAAAATCACTAGTAGCGATTTATATTGTCGAAAAAGTATTCACTTTTGTAAACTCGCCAATGAAGACCTTTGACCAATGTAAATTTTCAAAAAGTGTAATAAAATGTTATTGGCAATTTTTATTGAATGAGATTATAAATACTAGAATTTTCTTTCATTGTAATTCATCCCTAAAACCATTTGAAGTTCTTCGACTGTGTGTGCGTGCGCGAAGCTTGTAAGTTTATGAAAAGAAAAAATGAGTGTGTCTGTTGTAATT